GTTTATTGATAAGTACCACAAAAAAAATCGAAATCATAATTGAATTGGCTCTTTTAACCATCTTCATCTGTTATCCACATATCTCGCACTTCATTGAAGAAACAATTAGCGCGGTTTCCTCAAAAAATTAAAATAAATTTCCTCTGACGCTATTAACAATTTCTAAATAAATCTTTGATTAAGAAAGACAGGTTGGCCAAAATAAGGTCTCAAAGCGCAATTTTTTTATTCCAATACCAATAATTCTTGGTAATTACCAATAACAACATTCATCTTCGAAACGAAGATATTCATTCATTTGAAATCTGACGAATTCGAAGAGATGAATAATAAAATTTTAAAATGGCCGGTAATGCACAAATATTTAACCAATCCAGCTGATTATATTACGCATAGAATTAAAATTATTTAAATAATCATCATAATAAAATCATTTTTAAAACAAATGCAAAATTAAATTGTATTTTAATATTTAACAGCCATAAATAATGTTTAAAACATTAGATTAAATTTATGATATTTAAAACCAAATACAAAGTAAGGTGACGTCATTGATTACATCATCAACAACATAAAATTATATAAAATATTATAAACAACAAAATTTTTATTTCAAATAAAAATGTAAAATTAAATTGATTTTTAATATTTAGAAGCCATAAATAATATTTAAAACACGGAAGTTATGCATAATAAAACGCATTATTTTTTTAATAAATGACAACGAAGTAGGTTACCATAAATAACAGCAATGCCTTTTAAAATGTGAAGCTGAACCACATACAAAACATGTTAAACCTTTAACGTTCCCTGTGGTTTTCCCTATGGTTTCTGACGTATGCCGACTGCCTCGTCTTTCTTCGACCTTAGGTTTCTCACCTACTGCCTGATTTAAAATCTTAGTTTCACAAGCTTCCCTACGTACGTTGTAGGACTTCCCTTTAGCCGCAAAGAATATGTCACACTCCTTTCCAAGCTCTCTTGGCTTGAACCACGAGTCTCCCTGCCTTATACCTATGTGTACTGCAGTTTCCGTATCAAGGGTCTGGTAGATTTTGTCCGCTACCACCAACTGATTAAGACCTTCAAAGTCTGTCACCCCCCTTGATTTCACATAATTTTCCCACATGGCAGTAACTCTAGTAGAAAACTGGCCAAAGGTCTCTTCTGAACTTCGTCTTGCCTTTCTGAAATTCTCCAGGCATACCTGAGGTGAAGGTTTAAATTCTTTCAACACAGTTTCCTTTATTTCCTCATAATTCCCATACTTATCCTCGCTTATCAATGTTAATAAATTTGCCGCTTTATCTCCCAAAAGGTAAATCAAAATTTTGGCCTTATGCTCATCAGGGACACTTTCATTGACATAAGCTCTTTCTAAACTGGAGAAGAAATAGTCCCAGCCATCTGCTTTACTTGGAACCTTTACTGTCAATAATCTGATTGTCCTCGTTAACTCTTCTACTGATCTTTCCTTCCCATTCTCCCCCCGTTCGGGTGTAGTACTCCTATTCGAGTAACGATCCTGGCAATCTACCTTATACTTCTCAATGGCAATCCGCTCCTCTGCCTCTAACTTTAGTTTATATTCCCTTTCCTGCCTTTCCTTCTCCTCCTTTGCCTCCCTATCTGTAATGATAACACTCAGAAGATCCTTTGCTACCTGCTCCTCATAGCTTTCACTAGCAAGAATCTTTTCCCTCAAGTCCAAAATCCTAAATGTAGGCAACACTTCAACACCAAACTCTTGTGCAAGGGCGACTAGATCAGCCTTTCTAGATTTGGCCAAAAATGACATTATGCGACTTTATGTTCAACTTAATTAAAATAACAGAAAATTAAAACTAAATTTCCTTACATAAAATTATACATCAAGTTAAATCCTTAACTTCTGTTGAATCATAAACACATAGTATCTGCATTAAATATGCACAACATCCAAATACTCAATAAATAAAAAAACATGTATGTTTATATATAAGCATTTGAAAATTAATGCAATCATATCTCATAAATAAAACACAAGCATTACTTAAATTAATGATCATTCACTCATATAATAAAAGATAAATGCACTTGCAAGGTAATTCAAGTCTCATATGATAATCACACTGATAATTTTTGTCTTATAAAATACTTGTTCAAGTGTACCTTTACATTAACAGCAAATTTTTCATAAACACAAAAACATAAATAAATCACTTAACGAGAGAACCTGGTAGAAGATAACTATTCCACTTAATAAGCTTCGCAGCATTCGTAAGGAATTCACTTGAGCTTTTTCCGAGTCGACAAATATACATCCGACCAGCTGCCACCACTGTCATAAATCGATCCTTTGATCAATTCATCTTTGTCGGTTCGTTTTCCATCCACTTATGAATGTTATTAGTCAACTCTATTTGCAGGAAATAAACTGGGACACTTATGCAGGTTTAACAATAACATGAGCTATATTTTAATTTTGTAAATACACATTAACTTTTCACAAAGTATTGCTTTTATTCACATTTACATCAAACGCACAAGTAATACATTGCATCTCTCAGTTCTTAACAAAAAAAAAAAACTCTACTCTCGGAATACAGCCAAACTAATTTCAAATTTTTTCTCACGAGCATGCCGTCCTTCTCGCATCAAGCACGTTTCTTCTTCTCGTTGGATATTTTCCCCTCTTCTTTCAGATAAACTGTTTTTTTTTCACACAAGCATGCCGTCCTTCTCGCATCAAGCATGCTTTTTCTTCTCGTTGCCAGATATTGTGCCCTCTCTTTTCAGATAAACTGTTTTTTTCACACGAACATGCCGTTCTTCTCGCATCAAGCACGCTTTTTCTTCTCGTTGCCAGATTTTCTCCTCTCTCCTTTCAGCTATAAGTCGTTGGTTTAAATTTTCTTCCGGCAGACTTTGTCGGTAGCATCCCCTTACAGAGTATGTGCATGACAATTTATAAATTACTCTTAGAACATTTTATTTATTTAGCTTGAATGGTTATAAAAATAAAAAATATAAAAAAAAATGTCTTAAAAAGGTTCAGATTTTATATTACGTCCAAACGGGCCTTCCCCCCCTATTTACATACACATACACGTTTCGCTTCGAGAGCATTTAGGCTTACTCCCCTTTGGGTTAAAATTATTTAAAAACAACATAGCTTTAGAATTTCCAATAGACAGTGTCGCGCCCTGGAGATAAATACATTTTATTCTGTAGAGTATATTGCCACTGCTCGCTTTGAAATTGTTGAGTTTCTTAACCAAGAATTCATTAAAGTTGAAAAAATATAAAATAGATTATAAAGCGAATTCGAAATTCAAGATTCGGGTGGAGGACTACGTTATTCAAAATTTGACGGCTCTAAATAGCGCTTTCTCGCAGTGCGAGAAGCATACATATATACATTCATGCAGATTCTTCTCTATTTAATTTCTTTAAATATAATACAGGAAGTTAATATTTAGTGGCAACAATTTGAAAAGTGGTACAGCCGCTTATAGTCATTCGACACAATATGTCGTTTCGATACTAATAGCCCTTCTGGACTAACGCCCCTTTGAGCTAATAATTTTTATAAAAGAGATAATAGCTTAGTTAAAGTAATTTAATAATTTGAGGGAAACTTTTTATTTAATCATTACGCAATTAAAAATTATTTATTAAATGAAATTTTTCATTTAATGCATACGTTCAATTGAATTATTTGCTTTTGAAATCAGGCATAACAAATTTCAGGCAACCTTATTTTGGCACAGTTTTTCAATAAAACTCTATTGATATCGAGGACGGTGAGACATGGGTCCTTTTTTTTTTTTTTTTTTTTTTTTTTTTTTTTTTTCAGGAGTTAAAAAAAAAAGAAGGGAAAAGAAAAGAGCTGCAGAATTACAGCGATGTATTTATATCGAAAGCAATGGGCAAAACAAGGCGAACATAAACGCATCGCTATTTCTCGAGGAAAACAGTAAGACACAAGAAATTAAAATATTAATTTATAATTTGCTCTGCTATAAATACTTTCTGTTGTTTTCGAGTCGTCACTGCTCCCATTTTGCAGAATTTGTTTGCTTCCGAAGAAGATAGACCTGTATCTAATCGCCTGCGAAATATATAGAGTTTTATTCAAACTTTATGCCAAAATAAGTTTGCTTTATTACCTAATTTTAAATTTTACACTGGCAAGTTTTTTTTTTCCAGTTTCATCTCTTTTTGGGGGCATAATAAAGCTATAAAACCTCAAATAACTGCTTACGCAACAAAATGCAGCACGGGTATCTAAATATCTGATCCCTTTAATGAAATTAATTCGGATATTTCTTGTGATAAAAATCGCATGATTCAAATGGAACAAAAGTTAATTAATAAAAACTGGAAAGATGTTTAAATAAGTGTTCATGATACCCAAAAGTAACATGTTTAATATAATATGTATGATGTAATAGTTATATATGATGTAATAGTTTAATTATTTACATTTAATTTCAAGATAAATGTTTCAGTTATACAGCAAAATTTCCCAAAGTGGTGATCTAAATTGCTACTGCCGGAACTTAATTTCGATTGCATTGATGTTCTCTTGAGTCTACTACGTCCATGGATGATCATATTCTTCAAGTATCCGCATGCCCTTTATTGTATATAAACAAATCATGGGCATATAATTTGGAAAAGAAATTTGATAAGTGTTAAGATAAACGATGACTTTTAGGATAATTGATAAATGTTAAGATAATAAAATAATTTTAATTGTAAATGATAAATGTTAAGGTATTTTTTATTTGTAACTTTTATCAATTTTTTATTTATTTTCAGAAATTAACTTCCCCAACTAATGCATATCTAATTTTACAGCCATTTTACATTATAAATCAAATTAAATTGAGGTTAAGGGAAAATAGTAATCTCATGCTGACAGCTGCAGATGCATAATTTTGTAAACATAATATATATTATCAAGTTTCAAGAATAATACTAATTTACATTTTGAATTTACTCTTCAATTCCAGGTTGATGATAACCAGTGGCACAAAATAGATTTAAGCGTTTTCCAAGACAGAGTAATACTTTACATGGACTGCGAGAAACAATCTTCCTTGGCTATTGATCCTCGAGGGCCAATTGATGTCAACGGAGACATTATGATTGCAAAATACGAAGACGACAGTGACACTGTTCCTGTAAGTGTTCAGTTACTACATTCCATGAATTTATATGTTTCTTAATAAGGGAAGATTACATGGTACCTTTTTTCAAATTTTTTCAGTTAGAGCTTCAGTGGATGGTTATGAGTTGTGATCCAACAAGACCAGAGAGGGAAACTTGTGACGAATTGCCTGTAAGTCAATTACATATGATAAAATGATTTATATTTGATTGCATTTGACACACACACACACACACATATATATATATATATATGTAACACACACACACACATATATATATATACTATATATATATATATATGTAACACATATATATATGTAACACATATGTATATGTAACACATATATATATATATGTAAGATAAAAAGTGTAAATCGAAATATTAACTTTAATTCGTAATAATTCCTTAATTTTTCATTTTAATTTGGGTACTTCCCTTTTCTGTCCTTAAAATGATAAATGCTTCTAACAAACTGCGTCATTTCAAAATTACTAATTATGACCCACGCATAATGCTCATGACGCATAGGATAATGCTTATACTATGTACATATAATATATTCAGGAGCGGAAAATTTATGTGTTGTTGGAATCACTTCCTTCGATGAAATATTATTCGCGAGTAATGATAGGATCAAATATGGAAGAGTAAAAACCTTTGCAATAATATAGCACAGAAATGAAGTATAAAATACATATCATTAAATAATATAATAATATATACAATAAAACTGTAAGTTTGAATGTATACGAAAATGTGTAACAAATAAATAAATATTTGTTAATGAATTCCAGCAGATATATTCCTTTAAAATATTATTAATGGAAGAAAATATGTATGCCCTTGCCAAGAATTTATACAAACATTTAGCCAGAATCAAAGAAAAGATTGCTTTAGTGATCAACTTGTCAGCCATGATTGATAAATGTTTTCATATGCATGCAGAGCGCAACTTTTAACCTAATATTAGCAGCATTACTGTGAATTTAGTTTATGAAGTCAATCATTTTTAATGAAGACCTTCAAAGAAATTTAAATGTTTTAGAAAAATGTTTTTAGATATGTTTAAATGCATGTGAAAATCAGTCAAAATTAGTCATGAAATGTAATTCTTTTTAATTAGTCGTGATTTTCCTCAGATTGCTCAAGGAGTAAATCACGAAGAGTATTTGATTTTCTTATTACTTGCATTACATTGGAAACCGGTATTTCAACCGAACCAGAGAAAAAAAAATACAACGAAATATATTTTTTAAATTTTCAAAGAACCCTTTTTATTTTTAACTTCTGAAAGCAAGAAATAAGATGGTAGATCTGTATTTGTTTTTAAATTCAAATAAAAAAAACTGATATACTTTAAGACTAACGCAACTTATTATATTCAACACCAAGTATTTAGTACTGGATATAAGTTGAACAGGATATGATAATCTGGATCATATTAACAATTAATGTGTTATGTTGAAGTTAATTAGTATCTGATAAATATGACTCAGTATTAAATTAATGTCTGGGAAATATTGATTGGAAGTAATGCTTGTAAATGTGGGTTTCTTGCTTTAATGTTTTGTTTAATAAAGAAGATCGTAAAAAAGCTAATTTAATCTTTTTTACATTCTTTTAACCGTGATACTGATTTTTTGAAATCAGCAAATCAAATTTATTAGTATAATAGCACTTTGCGAAAAGATTCGATAAAGCAAATGCTTTAAAAATGTGCTTGAACGATGTGCCCTCACCTCCTTTAATACAGATGTTTCGATAATGTGTGCACAAGTGTAATCAAAATAAAAATTAAGACCATGGCCGTATTTTTAATCAATTAATACCAGTTATTATAGAATAGGCGTTTCAAGGTCAGTGTTTCTTCTCGACTTGCCTCGTAGCAACGACAGCTGTGAAAGATGCTTGAATCCCCTCATTTTTGTCTCCTCTTTATTCCTTTCAGCTTGTTTCGCTTCATGATAACCATGCGAACAGACTGACTTGAACTATAGTCTAAAATGAGAGGGAGGACATGAGCGCGGTGAGTTTATGACGACATGCCTTATAATCGTAAATAAGGGAGGATCGTAAAGACATTGAAATATATATTTTCTAAAGTAACATACTATCACCTACCTGGAAAATATTTAGAATGGAAGTGTTTTGGAGCTTTAGCTACGGAAATCTCTGAAAGATTTTTTTCATCATAAGTAAACGTGTGTAAACGTAGACAATAAGAACTTTTGGAAATTATTCTTATGCGTTAACTCATTTTTCTGAATGAATTTACGGTTTTGAGCGTATTAAGGATTTTACTTAAATGTAACTTTAAACTTCCAATGATAGATCTAAAGTACAATGATATAGGACGTGCAGATGAAAACTGAATATTGTCCATAAAGTTTCCTCCAGTATAAGATTGTTACAGAATTATATTATATAATTTTTTTTGCAGTCATTCCTCTGAATTTAACAGTCAATATACTAAATTTTCAGGTCAAATCTAGTTAATGTAGACATCATTGATAAATATAGCAGTTTAATTATGAAACTATTTACCTTAAGCAGCATGACAAATGGGATTAAATACGAAGTCCAGTGTAGCCACAGTATTAACGCATCATCGTTTTGTCTCATGTATTCATCGACTGCAAGGCAAAATTTAACTCAGATACTCTTATAAATAGTTCTTGTCTTTGGGCAAAGTTTCAGTGAAATTCTCTTGCAAATGGTCTCGATGACAGTCTCTGTAATAGCAAACAGGACAAAAGTGTTAATGAAAGAGGTAGTCATCACTACTTTGATTGAACTGTAGCATCAAAGACCAAGCCAGCCGAGTAAATGTTCCCAGCGCGGCATAGAAATCTAATGCATTTACATTTAGCTTAATGCAATTAAACGTGTTATCAGATGCATACATTATTTGCTAAGATGTTTTTAATGTTTCGCGGAATTAATGATAACATGTCAAACTCTTACGAAAGGTAAAACCTCAACTTCTAAATACCAAGTTTATCAAAACCAAGAAAATGAAATTATAAGTTTAAATTTTATTTCCTTAAGCCTTTCGGCTTTTTCCCCAAAGATTTGTGTTACCTGCTTCAATAAGCCCAGTAATACTGATTTATTAAGTTACGTTTTCTTAGGAATTCTTAAAATACTTCCTAAACTAGAAATTAAAGAAGTATTAAAATTTATTACAATTATTACAATCTGTGTGAATTTCACTAAGAATGGCTTAGAGTTAACTTCCGCTGTGAGTACACATTTTCGATCATATTGAAATTATTAAGTCCTCAGCATATTAAATCAGTGAATTCTCTTGCAAATATACAGATAGCTAACAAAAGGATTCATTTTATTGTCCTTGATTATGCAAATTCATAGAAAGAAATCAATTTTTATTTTCACTATGCCAAAACGTTTTTAGTATATAGAGAAAATCTTTAAAGATTGTAACCTTATTATTGGAAACATGTATATAACACTAATCAGTATAATTCAATATGACAATGCACATGAGAAATATTTATCTTGACGTCGTGGGCTAATGCCAATGCTAAGAGAAGTGCTACCTTGAATATTTTCAGAAGGAAAAAAGACCGGAGCCGAATGCTGCTTAATGCTGAATTCGGAGAAAATCATGGAACCACTGTATTCATAATTACCAATGGTTTTACTTATTCGGTTGCTGGCTGAAAGAGTACTATGTTATGCTTGATTAGGTTTCGAATGATATAATGAGTTAATTTTATACGATAATATTAAATATTGCTGTTCAAGGTGTGGAGAGGATAACCTGTTTGCAAACTATTCTTCCTTTAATATTTTCAAACTTTATTTAATAAATTATATAATAAAAGAAGTATACATAATTATAAAATAGTGAGAAATCTAAAAACCGACAAGCCTAATGATAAACATAATACAAGGAAAGAATTAATTGTATTCAGAAAGCAATAATCTTGGTTTAAAAATCTATATTTAATGTGATTCCACTTAATACATTATTAATGAATTTTTAAACAAGTACTATAAAATAGCGAAAAAACGTTTCTGTCATTGAATTGTCCGGAAACAATTTCCACTCATTAATTGGTGTATTCAGCAGAGTACTGAATTAAAGATTCAATCTATGAGAGTTAACAAATTCCAGATTTAAACTAAATAACTTCAGCTCTTTTAAAAATTAATCCTTCTGTTAAACATGAATCATTTAACCTGTTTTCAAAGTTCGCAAATAAAATCATCTAGTTAAGATTAAACTGTCAAGATGGGTTGCTGTATTAAAAGAACTTGAGTATTTTGTGCTAAAATGTTGCGTTTTGATGATTATGAGAACTAATGAACCAATCAATCAATGAATTTAAAGTTTAAACATCAACTAACCTCAACTTTTACACCCTTGTTAATTACAACTCTTCAATCTTAAGCTGTCAAACAGATACAATGTATTAAAGATCAATATTTCTTACTAAAACTGTGTATTTCGATATTGCATTAATACTTTCGTATGTATTAAAATGTCAGATAGCGATTCAAAAGTATTTGCCTTTGCAGTCATGCCACATTGAATGACGCAATAATAATCTAAGCATGATTTTACGCCTTATCGTGTTCCAAGTTTCTTATTAAATTTCATAACGCAATGTAATAATAATGTGTGAGTGAAGATTCTAACACCGTAATGTTTTGTATTGTAAACATAGTTAATCATTATACTGTCTTTTACTTGTCAACATCAGGTAACGTTAATGGTTTAGCATTATTTAATTACTTGTTTATTATATTTTGGTATGTATTAATATTATTATTAAACATGTGTTTTTTGATATTTAGTGTATAGTTTAACAAATTTTGTATTTGTTGTATATTAGCTAATTTAATTGCTTTGTTATTATTCAATAATACTAAATTTGTATTGTCTAGAGTAATATTAAGTATCTGATAGCATTTGTACGGTGTTATTGAGTCTATTATTTTCTAATCATCCACGCAATTCTGCATTTAAGATGTGATTGAGAACTTTTGGAATAATTTAACAGAAGGCTTTGAAATATAGGTAGATTTAAAATCTAGTGGAATCGTTTCCAAAACTTATAACGAATTTTCTTATTTCTCATTGTGTAGCTTCGTGGCGTAATTGGAATCCCGTCTGTCTAGAAATGGGAAGGTCCGGAGTTCTAGTTCCGAGAAGGCCACTGGTAGTTTTCCATATTTACTGTTGCTTCAAAGAGGCTGTTTAAGCCAGTTAGACTATATTAGTTGCTGTTCAAGCATGCAAAGAGTTTTATTATACACTACTCCACAGAGAAAATGCAACGCTGGACACTAAAGCTGAGCACTAAAGCGATTTTCTTGAAAATGCCATGTTCAATCGTCTTAATGTTTAGATACATAAGTTGCTAAACGTTTTGCAGTTTCCGAACAATGTTGTCTTTTAAGAACGTCATGAAAAGAGAAATCTAAATCTGTTGTGCTTAAGAGATGAAAATGGCTTCCTTATGTCACCTGTTACAAATTCGTCGAATTTAGATATTTGGTTTAGTTTATTGAATTGTGGCAAAGCCCGCGAAGGCTATCTGCCTCTTAGATGTTTATTCGAGGTTTATAGGCCTACAAACAACCTAATAGTATTTTCATGACACTGCAGAAGAACTGCAAAGTGACACTAGAAACGTAAGTCAGATTTTCAAATGGTAATTAGAATAAGAAAATAAAAATTTGCCACCTTAAGTTAGTCTGCAATTAAGAACAAACAGATTGATGCCTCTGACACAATTCGGTCTTAAAATACACATCTAACAATACTTCTATTAAGTATTTCAATATCGATTGGTATAATTTTTTATCGATCAGATATGCAACCTCGCTGTCCTTGTCATTAACACCGAATTATCATCCTGAATGCTTGCAACATTTCATAATGCCAGCGATAACGAATAGCAAATTATTCGCCTTGATTCTGAAACGCATAATTACTGAGTGAAAAACGATATAGCAATCAGACTGATACTTTTTCCATTGCTGAGAGTCACACGTTTGAGATATTATCAGTATACACAGTCACGCAATCACGCTTTTACTATCACACGTTTCGTCTATAGCAAATGATATTTTCCAATAGAATAGAGAGAGCTATGGTAACGCCAGCAGGTATCCTTAGCAAAATATCTAAATAATTATGGATCATCAAGATACTTACATCCGTTGATACTCGACAAATTATGAAACATGATTACTCGTCGAAAGAATATTATGCAGTGTTTTGCAGGGAAGATGAGCCGGGAATTTTGTTTTTCTACCATGTGGTTTAAAGTACACAGGCACAGTATCTCAGTAGTCACTGAATCCGTTGCATTCGTATTTAGACCGTGCTACTTCCTAAACTCTGCTGTGTAAATGTAATCTTTCGAAATTTAAATCTTATGTTAAAACATCGTCTCGATATCTATGCCACGTCTTATATCATTTAGAGAATTTTTTTGCAGGTCTTACAAAATTTTAATGGATTTAAATGCTAAAATTATTTTTTTTAGATGCTAACATAAGACGACTTATGTTAGCATTTAAAAAACGAATGATACGTTCAGCTTGGAATCATTGAGATAATGAAATTCTGATAGTTAAAATACAAATAAAAGTAAAAACATTTAACGAATATTTAAGAAAATTGTAAATTGCAACACTTTGCAAGACATATCATAAAATAAATGCGAAATGCTTTGAAGAAAAAATATTATTTACATTATGAAAATTAACAACTTTGTTACAAAAATGAAAACGAAATTCTTATCAGACCTTGATATAAATATTTTAACAACTTGTATTAAAATTACTGTTGTATACGTTATTCACACTTATTATTAGAAATAAAAATATAATTATCTAAAGTATTTAGCTAAATCTTTTCTTTTTCATACAGATGTTATTTCAAATTTCAAATATAAATTTGTTTGAAAGTTTTCATTGTTGGTTGCTGATAACAGTCCAATGAATAAATTATCGACGGTCTTAGGTGACTAAACTATCATGCTCCCTAATCGGTCATAAAAGCTTTAATTTAAATATCAAACCAATTATCTTTTTCCAGTTACTGTCAATTCTTCAGTCTCATGGATATTATAAGGTTGTTGCACTGTATACCATATTCTGTGTAATTAAGCTGTTTAATATTTTATCCTAGTAGTAGATCAATTCACTTTCAGATAAATCTGAGCTCTCACATTTCTTTTTCAGCCAAAAAAGAAAAAGCCCATGGATGATAAATGCCCCATTTGCCCTCCTGGTCCTCCAGGACTCAATGGAACAGAGGTAATCCTTTAACATGCGAAAATAACTTTTACTTTCTATTACGAAATTCATTAAATTTCAAGTAGACATACTAGAAGTTGCAGTTTTAAGCTAAAAACGAAAATTTGCCTACTCAAACGAAACTCGGCTAAAGAATGTGTCATTTAAAAGCTTAAGCCTGAAATTTTAATGAGGAAGTCACTCGAGACGGGCTGAAGCAGAAGATCACGTTGAATTTTTAAATAAACTCATCAAGTCACAGCAAACTTATAAGCTGTTTATCTTAGAATACACCGAACGTGAGTATTAAACTGCGAAAGAAAAGACTCGCTATATTGCTGCGCTTAATAGCTGTTCATTTACTGGCGGGTTTTATGTCGTTTTGTTATTGTTGCTTCTAAATAACGGGTGGCCATAATTAAACTGACAGTGCTCACAGTGTTCTGTAGCGCGATCTATTTGCGAGAATGGCGCCACATTTTGTAGGAAGATTAAACAAGACGGGGGACGAAGGATTCCGCGAAAAAAAAATTAGTTCCAAAAGTCACCGCTAGGGGAATATTTGGCGCTGTGTAATAGAAAATAGAGTGTTAACAAATGCAAATCAATACGGAAATTACCTTTTATTTTGCATTCAAATGAGGTTCAATGTGGCTGCCGTTGTTGTGGACCACATATTGCATTCTGTGCACAGTATGCACAACAGCAGAAAGTAACATGTCTGCAGGAATCTCCCGTACAGTCCGTGATATGTTATCCTTCAACGTAGCCAGGTCCTGGACCACTCCTTGATAGACCTTGGACTTAAGGTAACCCCATAGCCAGAAGTCGCATGGGGTAAGATCAGGCGACCGAGGTGGCCATGCAGTTGGAAAGTAGCGGCTAATGACTCTTTCTGTTGTGAATTTCTGTCGTAGCATCTGTTGCACAGTACAGCAACGTGTGGAGGGGCTCCATCTTGCATGAAAATGATTTCCCCCAGGCATTGTCTTTGCTGAAGTGCCGGAATGGCAAAGCTGTTCAACATGTGGTGATATTTCTCTCCGGTAACAGAACAGGTTTCCGGTCCTGTCGGGGTAATGTTCTCATAGAAGAATGGACCTACGATAAATTCCGCTGTGAACCCACACCAAACAGTTACCTTTGGTGAATGTAAGGGAATTGCTGTGACTGCATGTGGTGGTTTGTCATCCCAGATTCGGCAGTTCTGGATATTCACAGTTCCATTCAGGTAAAAGTGGACCTCGTCTCCCCATAAGATCATCCATCATGACCAAGCATCATCCACCTCCATTCTGGCAAGAAAGGTGAGAGCAAAAGTCAATCGCTTATCATGGTCGGGGTACAGTAACTCCTGTACACGGCTGATCTTGTACGGATAGAAGTTGATAATCTTTCGTAAGATTTTCCATACCGTACTCTAAGGCATATCCATATTCCATAAGGCATATCCATAATAAAAGGTAATTTTATTCCGTATTAATTTGCATTTATTAACACTCCATTTTCTATTACACAGAGCCAAATATTCCCCTAGTGGTGAATTTTGGAACTAATTTTTTTTTTCGCGGAATCCTTCGTCCTCCGTCTTGTTTAATCTTCCTACAAAATGTGGCGTCATTCTCACAAATAGATCGCGCTACAGAACACTGTGAGCGCTGTCAGTTTAATTATGGCCACCCGTTATTATTTTTGATAATGTTTTAAATGAATCTTGTAAGTATTAGAATGTAGTTCTTTCTACAGATTTTAAATATATGTCTACTTGCGATCCATATATCGCCGGGACTTCGCCAAGAATAAGATTCTTTCACTGTTTTCACGGATTACGCATATTTTTGATGCATTACTTTCATTTAAATATAGAGAAATAACAAGATGCTTATAAAATGTATATAATTATGTTAAGGTTTCATATTCGGTGCTAAGAGAAACGTATAAAATAATTATTTTGATGTTGCTAACCGGAATGAGTGTTATTGAACACTTCATCTTACCAATAGCGCTTTTACCACCACTGATGGCAGTATGATTTTGTCCAGCTCCATCCTAATTATTAAGATAATATTGACATATGGTATTTGAAGGTATTTATTCTTTTTTCTAATATAGCTGTCTCAAAAGGACTTCCGGGACGATTGATTTTAAGCGAGTTCACTCCACGAAGACTCTTCCCTGTTTTATGGGAGTAGAATTCAGACATTTTGTCGATTATACTGCTGAAGGATTGCATTGCTTGATTGCTTCCTTTCGCAAAATTTCAAAAATTTAAAGCCTTATCAAACATTTAAATGTTTAAATCTTAAACGATTTTTTAGATTTTTAAGCATGGTTCTGATAATCTATAATTGTAAGTGGCCGCTACATATAAACTAAACAAACAATATAATTGGACTTTTCAGGGTAAAAATCTATAGTTATCTCTGCAAAGATTATAAATTTAGATTTTGCAATAAACTTTTATTTTCGATTATCACCTAGGAAAGGAAGAGTAAATATATTGTAAAATGAATCCTAGAAATATTATCTCAGTTTTCCTAAAGAATTAATTTCTAAAAAAAGATAAAATAATGCAGATATGGTAAATCAACGTGTTTAATATTCATACATATGTTTGTAATTTCAGAAAGTATATATTCTGTGATGAAGATATATTCAGAGGCTATATGGCTCTCACAGTCTACATTATTGATATTTCCAGAAGAAAACGTTATTAGAATTTTTTGATATGAATGGTCATGATGACGAAGTGAAAAATGCCATTTTTAAACATCATTACCTTGAATTTCCTATCCTTCTAATGCAATTTCTGTTAAAAGTTCTTTAGAGCACTCAAGGTGGTGAGACAGAATAATTTTATGAAAAATAGTTTATTTTTAAAGTGCTGACCTATCTTAAAATTCTTCTAAGATTTCTAGAAAACTTGTAGAATTGCTAATGTGTGTATATAGTATACAAGAGGTGTCCAAAAGTTAAGCAACAAACAGAAAACTGATGATAACTAAAACAGTATGCAAGCAAATTGGACGAAACTTGGTAATAATATTATTATACCACTTGAAATTTAAAAACGCAAGAAAATGTTCTACAAAATATTAAAATTCCGTGACATCAATTGGAAGTCTTCTAAATTCAACGATACAAATTAAATACATTGACATTTTTTAATAGTGATTTTGATCACCTCGAACAGTAATACAAGCCTGACAGCGATGTGTCATGCCGTTTATGATGATGTCAATAAGCTTATTGGTTGGGTAGCTGTGTCCATGTACCACGTGGAATAGTTCTAAGCCTATTTAGGATTTCGAAAGGTGGAGGCCAGCCGGAGAATACTACAAATACTCAGTGGGATTAAGGTCGAGATAGCGTTTTGGCCATTCGATTTGGACTATAGTCTTTCTTCAAGACATTAATGTAAGAGGCGAACAATGTGATGGAAGGCATTATCTGCTTGCAAAACGAAAGTATCTCTAAATGTGAAACACACAGACGAACAATATCCAGTACGTCCTTTCTATACCTTTGAATATTGTGAGTTCCATGTGACAACACACACAGGTCTGTGCTTCTACGTAAAATAATTCTTCCCATACAAGAGCACTACCTTCAGCATTCCCGTATATTACTCGTAGAACGGAAGATATCGAGTGTTGATTTACTTTGCCGGATGCACATACTAGAAAGGATAAAGACTTTGAATACTAATACATTTTAAATAATCATATTTTTATCAGCCGATAGATGGCATTGTAAAAATTGTCGCCGATAGAGGGCGCAAGATTGTAATCGAGAATCGGAAGCGAGAGAATGTGATTGAGGTTAAGAATGCTCCGAAATGATATGTAAATGCTGTATATATTTAGTGTAGTAAATAAAGCATTTATAAAACGTTAGAGTTATCCTGCAGAGTTCGAAACTTATCACTTACCGTCCTGTGACCAAATTGCGGATAACAACGTGTAGCACAAAAAGAATGCAATGGATTACTTAAAATGGGTTGCCTGTAGCAAATAAGGGTAAGGCAGTGAAGTGTTATTTTAATGCGATATGAAAGGAAATGAAAAGTATGAAACGTAATGAAAAATGGAACAGGTATACGGAAACACTAACATTAGTATATTTTTTAGCTTTTGGACACCTGGAAAGCGAAATACAGCGCATTATTTATGTTGGTTACCAAATTGCAATTGTTAGCCAAAAATGATTCGAAATTCGAAATTTGAAGGCACAGAGTGCCACCCGAAATGTCATACCCCTAGGTTTCTTTATTACACATTTATGTATTGTTCGAATATTCTAATATGAATGCAAAGTTCACTTTCTGAGCATAGAAGGTGTGGTGTATTTAATTACGGCAAAGCACACTAGGGCTATCTGCCAAAGGGAAGGGATGCCTTTCGTGGAGGACTTTCTAAGGGAATCTGGCTCGTATACACGTTACACATGGGGAAAACCACGAAAACACCCACGCAGCCAGCCCGTTCGCGGGATTCGAACCTCGGACCGAACTACCAGTGTTCAGCGACTTTACCGCTCGGCCGCTGCTGAGTATAGAAGGAGAGTTCAGTGCAGAATATGTTCAATGTATATACTATTTTGTTTCACTACCTCTTGTAAGTTAGTATGTGCGTTTCTCAGAAACCTCCAGGGCCCGTCTTCCGGAATTGCACGACACAATTAAACGATATTAGTCTTAATTTCGGCTGCATTTTCAGGCTTCTTCCGAATACCTTATTTTTAAAAATGCCTATAAAAAGAAATCGGGACTATGCGGGTGCAACTCTCTCCCATCTTCGTAACATTTATAAAACCAATAAGGCATTACAAGCACATTAAATATCTAATACAAGAATTCAAGGAACATGTTTGACGAGTATGTGCAGGTTCCGTTTGGCACAAACCGCTCAGTGTGCAAAGGGAGACGTGTTATTATTTTCAGGTGTGCGAAACACTCGATGGGCGCCATCCAGTCTTCTCTATCACAGAGTCAGGGGCTTCCATTCGTTAATACAATATGTGAATGATATGTTTACAAGGAACCCATTTTTACCAAAGTGTGTACAAAAATTTCTTTGTGTCGCCTCTAAAATTTCATCAAAAACATTATTACAAGTTTTACTTTCTCTTCAACACTCAACCGACCGTTATCCGTCATCTTGCAGACTGCCATTTCACGGAAAATTAGAGTCCGATACTGACTTCAACCGGATGCTGACATCTACTCAATATTTCATGAGCAAATGCATTCAAATACTCGTTTTTAATGTTCCATATTAAATATTAAAAACTTATGAGATGATTGAATGGAATGATATTTTGTGCACTACCCTGGCGTACCCTACATTTTGGCTTCGATTTTACTTTAACTCTTGCTTGTCAAAATATCGCAAATGCTTATAATTCTTATATTTGTATTTTGCATTGTCTACGCATACTTTCCTGCTATTTCTTGTAGCATAAAATATGCTAAGCATTGAGCATTGACATTGTTAATAAACGTACCTACAAGTAGGTGGCATGTGAGTAGCTTTTGAATAATATAAGAATATGTAGAGACTCTATGTAACTAGATGAGAAAAACAATCGCTACATGATGTGTGATACAGAGCGCTCGTCTCACCGTCTTTACCTGCACATATAGCTCTAAAAGTTTCAGAAATACTTAAGGAAAAATCGGATTTATCATTATTTTGACTCACGGTTCATTTCATGAAGTCTGAAGTGAAATTCAGGAAAGCCCCAAAATGCAATTTACGAAGCAGAATTTTCTGAATTTATAGCATTTTGGCTCCATAAACTACGCTCACAAGTAACACTTCATGTGTAAATATCTAATTCTTTCCGTTATTATACATTCTCAGGGTCCTCCGGGAATTCCTGGACCAATTGGTTTGTCTGGCGAACGGGGACCACAAGGAGTGCCAGGCGTTCAGGGACCTAGAGGAGAGACTGGCTTACCAGGAATACCGGTAAGTTATTGTCCATTATTTCAGAAATTTAAACACGTAGAGCAAGAAAGTGAAATGTTGGTGAATAATTAATGTGATTCGATTATCTGTTAACAGATATATTATTTATTTATATAATTAAGAAGTGTTTTGTAATTCAGTATTTAACCTTTATTCTCTTTCACTGATTTCTCACTTTACTCGGATATCATTTGAAAATCATAGATTACATCTTGCTCGAATTATATCCTAATTATACCTTTTTCTTACGTTCATTTAAGTATTAAATTATTGCTATATTAAAACCAAAGTCATCAGAAGATAATCTTTGAAGCGCGTTTTAATGGATAAAGTGCTTAATTTTATGTGTTTGAAATACTGCCAGGAATATATGTATTTTAAAATAACTCTTTTTCTAAATTTCCAATTATAAGTTTTATTATTTAAGTATAAACAGACGAGAAAAGTTTATTTTAATGAAACAGCTGTCACAAATTTAAGTCAGAATCATTAATGTACCCTCAGAAATTATTTATTAATTACCATTTAATTACATTCTCTACAGACATCTTATCTTAATTCTATTAATAAGCCTTAAATTTAGCTTGTTTTTATTAGCCTCTCTCGGAAAATGTAAAACAATTAAATGCAGTTATTCATTTTTCACATCTTCGGCACTGCAAATGGGCTGCCGTGCATTGCATTCTCACAATTGTAATTGCACACGTCCTTAAAACTTTTAATCATGACGTCTGTTTTTAATCTTATTACCAGAGTAAATTTTTCATTCAGTTATGTCTTTTTTTCTCGTCATTTTCTTCTACCTCAGCATTTGCAAATATTCATACACTTCTCTAATTTTTTAAGTAGTATGTTTGTTAGTTGGTTTAGTTGGTTATAGCTAAAGGCACGTAAGTTATTTGTTTAAGAGGCGAAATACCTTCGAGAAGGATTTTGTTTGTGAAACTATCTCGTATTCAATGTCATCCCTGGGAAAATCTCAAAAACATTCATGCAGCCTACCCGTCAGCCTGGCTTTGAATCCAGATTAAACAACCAGTTTTTAGCGGCTTTACTATTCAGAAACCGATGCAACCGCAAATTTCACCTTGTTATAAGATTTTTTTTATGTATTTCCTACTTACTTAAAATATTTTACTTTTTTTCCACAATTATCTCGAAGTTATTCTAAAATCGAAAAATTATGAAAAGAAATATTAAGACATTTTAAATCTAATGTTTCAAATCTAAGCATTAAATTCTAGATAATTACAGCATTCCGTGAAATTTTATGTGATTTTTAGCTAAAATTTCACGGCTTTCACGGCAAACTAGCTCTCTCTCTTGGGATGTCTCTTGCAAGTAGCCTGACAATGTATACTTTAACATTCTTTTAATTTAAATATGCTGTCTTTCAATTTTTTATTTATTTTCAATATGAGAGAATAATTACAATTAGTAATCAATTCTAGATTGATGTTTAAGGTTTTTTTGACCCAAGTAGAAGCTTCTACAATTATTTTGAATTCGTCAAGAAATAGTGAAAGCTCATTTATTTTTTATGAAAAGTTTTTTACGATAGCAGTCTAATGAACAGTGAGCTAATTGCTAAAAGATTGTGGCCTTACATGTGTTTATGTGTTTGACAGATTTGTTGAAAAATTCTACCCTGAATATATTTTGGGATACATCTGGAAGTATTCGTATACGATAAGCTATTATAAGCTTATTATTTCCTAAAAACTAAAATGCAGCACGTGAAAATATTTAAGGAATTAAAAATGAACAAAGCTGTTTTTAATCTCATCTAGCATAACTGGATGGTCCTTGGCGTATTTCCAGCAAACAGATAGAGGTTTCAAAAAAGAGAGAGAGAAAGAAAGCAAAAAAAAAAAAAAAAAAAAAGCGAGTTCTGTTTAAATGAATTGTATACTCTATTTTTAGAATCGTAATGTCTGGTTAAATCATGCTTTTGCAGACTAAGGGACTTGTATGTTAACAAAAGAAGAAACAAAAACGCCAAGGTGTTTGAATAATAACCTTTCAGAATTATTGTCTCATGTTTACATTTATGAAATATTTTGTATATTATAGTATTTTTGTATAATAATGTAAGTAATATTTTGTATAATAAATGTAATTATTCTCTCATATTGAAAATAAATAAAGCTTTTTCTCGTTTGAACATTTCGAATCTTAACAAAAAAAGCTCAGCATTTTACTTAAGACGATTAGAAGGTGAGTTTTTTGAGGCCCAGTAGAAGCTTTCATTTTAAAACAAAATAGTATAGTTACAATTTTAATGGGACTGGATCATTAAATGTAACACTCTAACCATTATGAGAAGCTAGAATCTTAATTTTACGAAAAGAATTCAGTGTTCCGTGTAAATCCAATACCTTTTGGTTTAACAAACACTCTTGAAAAAATTTCTCCCCTCTACGTATTCGCATTGATTTAAAAAGAATACGGATAAATATAAAAAGAATTCTTACTCAGAATTTTTGTCAGTTTAGTACATTGAGAAAATGAACTTTAAGTTACAAGACTTTTATCAAATGATGAGATATTTCAATTATCAAATTTCGTTTGCATTCTTTTATTACAAATAATTATATTTTGAAAACTTCTAACTTTGTTTCAACTTTTTTCATTTCACTCAGATTTGTAGTTCTCTTTTAACAGAACATTTTTAAAAAAACTTTTATCATAATCATCATCATCATCCTTATTATTATATAAATTATTTGAGAATGTAGACTTTAGAAAGCTCTGTGAGCACTAAAGCACTTTTAAAGTTTTGGATTCGTATTCGAGAAAAGGTAGAACTCACTGTTTCGTTAGTTTAGCATTTAGAAATGAAAAACTATCACTAATATTGTTAAAAGAAGGAGAATTGGTTACCGTTTTCTTTGCTGAAAAATGTGCCGAGATGTGTATGCAATATTTTGAGTTAAATGCCCTTTGCTATGGCTTACTGATGGATTTTGCTTCTGTTTTGTATTTAACGTGGATCAGCATAAATGCTTTTTATGTTATTATCGTAAGTATATTAACGCATAGTTTATAAATACACTAAATTTGAGCAGTTAATGTTGAAAGTATCCGTTACGCAAAAACATAAGTTTGGCAACTAAACCCAATGAAGCTGTTATTTGATCTAGCCACAATCGAGTGCAACACAGGAATAGGTCAAGCTAATAAGATTTTTTAAGGTACAGATTATAGTTAAAACTTTAAGCAATACGGTTTAAGCATAAAAGCATAATACTGTAACAACAACAATCACAGCCTCTGTTTGGTTGAGGTTACACAAATGATAGACAAAGTATCACAGCTGTAGAATATGTAAGTCTTTTCCTAAATTTCGCAAAAAGATCTAGTGAAGGTTTTGTAAACTACTTTTTTGGTCTTCTTGTATCACCTGGCATTGTAGTCAAGATTGTTGGAACCACGCTGCCAGTAATGGTTTATGCAGATTCTAATTTTGGGCTGGGTTGCAGTTAGTAGATATTGAATTCAATACAAAACGTTTTCTTTCGTAGGTATACATATCTACATTCAGAAAATCAAAAAAACGTTATTTGAATGTTTGCTGTTTGAAATGTAAAACAAAATATTGCTTAGTCGCTTTCAAAACGGCATCCATCGGAAAACCCTTATCTCACAAAAGCGCCTTGAGCACAAAGTGAAGGAAGGAGAAACATGGCAAATCAACAAGGAGGAGTCATTTGAAGTATGCCAGGAAACTGTTTCTCGTCAATGAAACCCACACATTTGTGCTCATTATGAGACATCTTACCGAATAATCGGATATTGCTTTATATTTATGATGTTGCGAGCCCCCAACTTGTCAGCAACAGTAGTAGTGACTGCTATGAACTGGAAATTACACAAACTCTTAAAAGGGTTTAACTCCCTTTTTATTTCACTTTAGAAATCACAGTTGCGTTCACTTGACGCTCACAAACTACGCCGACCCGGCGGTTGAACAAAATAGACAAAAATGCAACTAAAAATAAATGACAGGATGAATAAATAACGAAGTCACTACCTACGAGGCTCTTTAATCGTAACTAACCTAACCGCGTTCTAAGATACAGCTGAGATTCAGCAAACTTTCTGATTAAGAATTTGAAAGATTCAACGAACTGTCGAAATAGGCACACAGGCCGAAACGCGCGGTTCTTAAACTTTCTACCAAGCAACCTTCACGCTCGTGATTCAAGAAGCACACTTACAATCTCGCTTCCCTTCTATTTAAACTCAATTACTTCTGCTAAAATTTGAATACTCTGCGCGTTCTACTACGATTTACTCTGGCATTGGCAATTCTAGGGATAAGTAAAGGCTTGACAGGAAAGCTAGCTTAAACTTAAAATAAATGTTAGTTAAAATAAATATAAACCCTACAACTTCATTTGCATTAAGTGGTAGCATGAAATACAGTGAAATTTGTGTTCATGAGTTTAATTCGTTTCTAAAGGCCATTGATCATACGAAATGTTCGTAAACTTAAACTTCCCCCTCCACAGGAATAAACGCAAAATGTATTAATTCGTTTCTAGACCTCAAATGATTCCTTATTTAAACTTTATCGTAGTACTTTGTGCACAATTACGTTGTACCAAAAATAATGTCCGTTACATAAGTTAATACATCTAAGACAGTCATACAAAAAAGTAAACATAATAATAAACAGAAAAATAAAAGAAAACCTAACTTAAATTTTATCATATCTGTACGAAAGAGAATAAACAACATAATTGAAAACTGATGAAGAGGGGAAAACAAAGAGATATTATTGTTTAGATGAGAATTTCTATAAAAACATCAGTTAGATTTTTTTTTAAATCTTCTTTTACGTTTTCTTTGTGTCTTAGCGCACCACTGGTTGAGACCGCTCATCCTCCACTTCGCTCACAATTTATCCAACGTGATCAAAGACCGAATGCAATGTTCGAACTCTTTCTCTGAAGACACTTCCTGCACAATCGCGTTTTGTGTCTGCTTCTGAAGGTGTTTCGATTATTCTTTTCTTGATCTCATTTTTATCATTCCCTAGTAAGTGGTTACGTGTTCATTGTTTAAACTTCCAAGCTTAGAGACATAGTATCCTAGGTGACAAAATTCTCAAAACCTTTAAAATATCTGCTGCAACTCAATTTGGGCAGATTTCCTCAAGGCAGAATTCATGGCTCTGTAAGTCACTTGTTGCCAAGCTTTGTAAATGAGAGACAAGCAAAAAAAATTTTAAAAGATGTTTATTTAAAAAAAAAAAAAAAAGCGAAGCTCGTTTAGAGTTCCGCCGAGAACTCTTGTTGGAAGCGTGCTAGTAAAGTTCCATTTTCATTTTAGCTATGAAAAGAATGTTTACTCTTCCGTGTTAAAACTGTTCAATTTTTATCATTTCCCAACTTAAAAATATATTTTGATCTTAGAATTTTACTGTTCATTTTATGAAGAAACGGGTTTTAGGGGATCTCAGATCTACAGTTGAAAAAATTCAGTACCGTGAGTTAGCAAATACTATTTTGCTGTTTTAACTCAATAAACAGTAGCTCAACGAAATGAATTTCGTTCTGCAGCAGTAAGCAATCATAAATAAATTTGTCGTCCGCTTCAAATATAGTTAGCTTTCCTGCCGCCTGGCACTGCATTTCCTTGATCTGCGAAGTGTGCAAAATCTCAGTCTTGCGGTATCGATTCACAAATAACTTCTAAAGCATCGCAAGCATCCAAAAAAAGAGACGGAGAGTTTTGTTCTCTATAAAAGTCTCTGAAGTTGAAAATTACTTTCATTACATTCTTTTAGCGCTGATTAGTAGTGGTTGCTTTGGGGGGCGGAAGAAAATATTCTTTGCAATGAAATCTGCAAGTATTTACTTCTAGAGGTCCGGCTAATCATATTGTATTTGAAGAAGCCTAGCATACTCCTGCGAATCAATGCGTGATGGTTTTCTCAGGGAATCAGAGAGAGGGTTATGCAAGAAAAGCAAAAAAGAAAGAAATTTCTAATAATAGCTAAACGTCTAAATCTCGAATTCCTGAATGATTAATTTTGGAAATATCGTCAGTTCTATTTCCTTATGCGACAATATTTAAAATCAGAGCAAAAAGAGTCCGAATACCTTTGGATAATAAATTTCTTCATTTATCTAAATCCGGTTTCTACATTTAAACTAGATTTTTCTTCTTGTTATAATTTATATTTTTCTCCTCTTTCAAAATTCTTCATTTACTTGATAAATGATAATTAATATTTGTTTTTTCCTTATTATATAGGGTCTACCAGGACCAATAGGACCTCCAGGTCCCATCGGGCCACCTGGAAGATCAGTAAGTAAACAGACCTTGCATATAAACTATAATATTAATGTTTGTATAATTGTGAATGTTTTCTATAAACTATAATTAAAGAAAAGCCGCGCTTCTAAATATCTGTGAGAGAAATACGCGTGGAAATATATAAAGATAATTAATAACAATTGCTGCATAATGTAAAACTATAATAATAAATTATGACATAAAGACAGATTAAAAAACTGTTTATTTGTATCTTCCTTGCAAAGATTTAGAAAGACTTTGATCTGAATGGTGTACTCTTTATTCGCTTGCGATTTATCGTAATTGCTAGTAATTTTCTTTTCTTAATTATTTAGACTTTTTTAATAGTCCTTTGAAAAATTTTACATATATTCTCTATCAAACTTCCTTAATTACTATTTAAAGCTTTTAGTATCATATCACAAAGTTTTTTAAAGATGAACGGATAATCGTTATTTTTTATGTAATTTATTACGGCATTTTAAAATTTATTTAGGAAGCATTTTGCTATTATCATTACTAGAAAATGCTGTTGATTGAATTTGATCTCAAAAATGTGTATGCTACTTTTAAAGAAAATAAGCATTATGTAATGAAATTAATGTTTTTTGTTTTGTCTAAATTATAAGAATTTTGTATGTAATAAATAGATAAATGTTTGCATCGTGGGGGGAAGATTCGATATTAATTTACTTTTATAAAATAAAGTTTTTGAAGAAAACGCAGTAACAATAATTCTAAATTTTTCACTGTTAGTTATGCAGACATTTCGAAACCTGTTAACATTAAGTGAGAAATTATCCCATCCATTGTAATTATATGAATTTTTATTTGTTCGTACTAATTAATTATTTAAAACATAAGCAGAAAATGCAAATTTATAACTGAAAATCTACAAATTTATAAAAATGACCATCGATCATTTGAAATGCTACATTGTTCTACAATACAGAAAACAGAAAAGAGTAACTTGGAAACTATTACTGTATACAGTAATATAAAAATATCTAAGAATAAGAATTAAACACTTAAAAATTTTCAGAAGGAAAAATTAATAAGAGATACAGGAAAAGGGTACATTGTTGTCAAGTTAATATTAATGGAAATATTTAAATTTTAACACCAAAAGTATATCCTTGCAAATAACTTCCTTAGTCAAGAAAACTGAAGATTTGATAGTTTCAATAAGCTTGTTTCAGTTTAGATGTTTTATAGTGTCCTCTTCATAAGTTCTCATGATATATATCAGAATGTACAAACAAACGTTGATGGAAAATGAGTAAAATTATATAATGATTAAAATATTATGTTTTTCCTGTTGATTAAAAACAGAGATTATATGAAATTTCTATTATTTCTTGATTATATGGAAATTATAATTAATCAGCGATTATTATTAGTAAGTCCTGCCAACTAGATTATAAAATTACATTTTAGATTGTGAAGATACCCTCAAGTAAACAGGATTTGGTTTGAATACTTATTATGAGAACAGCACTCAAGACCACATGGAGGAAAAGAAAAATGTTAAAACTTTCAAATTTTAAGTGTCGCATAAGAGGGTTTAAGTAACATTTTTGTACACTCTCGTTGGACGGGAAGTCTATCAACTATTGTAGCTTTAAACAACACTAAACTACTAACCCATTTCTTTTTGTCTTTTAGTTTTCTTATTAAGCATTGTTTTCTTCGTATCTATGCCACATACAATTCAGCAGCAAAATTTTAAAATATTTAAAAGCAGCATATGTTTAGAATTCTTGATGCAGTATTAAGTTTTGGCATACATTTGTAGCCCAAAAGGGCCTTAGCGCGAAAGGGCTATTAGTCTCGAAACGGGATTTTGGGTCATCCACTATAAACGACGAATCCCTTTTCAAATTTTTTCCACCAAATATTTTCACCCTAGATTATTTTTAAAGAAATTAAATGATGAAGAATCTGCATGAATGCATGATCCATGCATTGTTAAAAAACAACGGTACCGGGGGCCATAAAGGTTTGAATAGCGTAATCCTCAACCCGAATATAACCACTTGGAAGCCCGAATTTTAAATTTCCTACTTTGTAAAACTTTAATGCTCAATAAATTCAAAGATTTTAAAGGGGGCAGTGGCAACGCTGTATGGAATGAAACATTTTCATCCCCAGCGCTCGAGACTGTCTTTCTGAAATTTTAAAGCTATACGGTTTTTAAATATTTTTTATTTTGCTGATGAATTGAATTTATGCGGCAGAAATGCGAAGAACATGATATTTAATGTATAAAGTTAACTCATAAACGACAAAAAAGAAGTTTCGTAAGCAGGCTTACTAAGAAAACTGACCAGTGATATGATGAACTGAGAAAAGACTGAAAATCTAGAAAAATGTTATTTCAACACTTAACAATGCATAGGGAATATCAAACATATACTGTTATGCTGCTTTTAAAATTTTTGTAATTTTGCTGTTGAATTGTATATGGCGTAAGTGCGAAGAAAATGATGCTTAATAACAAAACTAAAAAGACAAAAAGAAATGGGTTAGGAGGAGTGAGTGCAAGAGCAGTCTAGTAAACTGCGAGCTTAGCAAAAGTGTAAAAAAGTAAAAAAAAAAAAAAAAAAAAAATTAACAAACCCTTTGGATGACCGTTGAAATCTGAAAGCTTTCAGTTTTTTTTTTAATTGTTTCTCTATTTTTTTCCAGTCTTTTTTCAGTTCCTACTCATATCAATGTTCCGTTTTCTTACTAAGATAGTGTGAAAAAGTTTGTATTTGTATTTTTATTATTAATGATTTCTACGTTAACTTTCTTTATATCATGTCCTTCATACTATTTATGCCACATAAAATTTAATTCAACAGCAAAATCACAAAATATTTAAAAACAGTATACATTTAGAGTTTCAGAAAGACAGTCTCGCATGTTGGAGATAAAAATGTTTTATTCCGTGCAGTCTCGCCATTGCCTGCTTTCAAATCGTCGAGTTTGTTAATTAAAGGTTCATTTAAGTTTTACAAAATATGAAATATAAAATTGGAATTTCAAAATTCGGACTTTCAGCTGGATATGTTCGGGTGGAGGATTACGTTAGTCAAAATTTGATAATATCGTCGTTTTTTAACAATGCGAGTAACATATGTACATGCATGCAGACTTCATTATTTAATTTCTTTAAACATATTGCAGGGCGATAATATTTGGTAGAAGAATATGGAATGAAATTTTAGTGGAGAAGCATAGCTTCGAAAACAGAGAGAGAAAAGTTCAAAATCTTCTGACCCTGATGCCCTGCCGACGTAATTCTAGTCGTCAAGCGGAATACGAAAAGGGAGAAAATTTCGAAAAACATATGGAAGACTAACGTAACGTCTCTGCAAAAGCGACAGTTTTCTTTCTCCATGTTTCGTTACATTATTTCAAGAAGTCTGCAAGCTTTCTGTGGTGGAAAATCATTAGCGTTGTATGCTCTCGACCAAAGTACACTTTCAGAAACTAGAAATTTACCTTCTGTCATCAGTTTATTGCACATTATGGAGAATAAGCTTTTCATATGTGCGTTGGAGGGGCTTTTCTTACCTTAATAGTCTCAACCTTCGTCAAATGGTTTCTTTCCGAGGAAAACACAAGCATGAATTCAGAAGTTAGAATCATTTTTTTTTTTTTTTAAATTTTCGAGAAATAAAATTTGTTTGCTGGAATTCTGGTTCATTTATGTAAAAGAAGTTCCTTTTATTTAGAGCTCCGGTGGGCTCCTGCGCAATTTGAGCTCTGATATTCTGCCACTGGTTAGCCTTAGCATATTTAAAAAAATACTGGACAAGTATTCTAATAAAAACAACTACCGCGCCAAATCTTCCCTCAGAATTAGAAATCAAGGTCTCAGATAGAACGCTTATAATCTATGATGGCACAAAGGAGCCTAGACATTTCAGGATTCTATTTTGAACTAACTCAACTTGGAAATAATGATTGCGTGGTTTCAACTTTCAGTTAAAAGTTAAAACCACGACTGTGGCGTTTCTTATATGCATTTTTTGATGATAACAAGCGTATTTATAGATCCACTCTAGATGGTAACAAGTGTATATTAAACATCTATTGTAAATGATTACAAGTGTATGTTATAGATCTATTGCAGACGGTAACAAATGTTTATTAATAGGCATAGAAGCCATTCCTGGCTGAACTATCATTGTTTATTTACTTTAAAAGTAATAAATTCGGTCACCGGTAAGCCCTAGCATAATTTAGAAAACGTATAATTAAAGAATTCCTGTAACAAACTCAGCCCTTTTATTAAATTTTGTCTGAGAAAATACTCTCTCGGAATAACTCATAGAATCTTTAGTAAAATAAGCAGAATTTAAGCAATAAAAGTGAAAAATTTTACGATTCTGTTTTGAGTTATGTCTCTCAATCTGCTTGGAGATAATTAGTATTTGAAAACACAAAATTGGAGATATTTCCAGAAGACCTGCATTCATCAAACCCACTGTAGAAAACTCAAAATTATTCAAGAGATTTCTGGAAGACCTACGTTGCTTATATTCATTGTAAGTTCACTATTAATATAAATGTTAATAGAACAGAATATAAAAATTGGAGATTAGTGAAATTTTGTATTAAAAATTTACTTTCTGCTCTATAAGCAGGCTAAATAAAATGTCCGGTGAAAGATGAAGCGAATTAATAAAGTCATAAATATTCAGGAAATAAAATAATGCGATTAAGGATATCCATTTCACATAACTTACTTAAGCTAACATTACAGTTTGGATTACTGCGTTACAAAATTTATATTATACCAGTGAATCTTTAAATATTTGCATGTGGAAGTTAGAATTTATATTTTGTTCCTAGAATAGAACCGCAAATCCTTAAGAAATAAAAAAAAAGCATTTCTTAAAGTAATTATTATACTTCCAAAACTTCAGAAAAGATAAATCTGAGAAAGACATATAATATAGAAAAACAGTAGTAAGTTTAAATAAGAACATCATGAAATTACTTTGAATGAGCCTTTTAAA